AACCTGGAGGGATACTACCAAGGCATCATTATGCGGATGTTGGACCAATTCCAGGTCGGCTTCAGTAAAGGCTATCATCGGCCCTTGGCATTCTTCTGGCCGATGTCTCTTCTCCCCGACTTGGTAGATATGCTGTAAATGTCTTACCCTCTGGGTCTCTCCTCTGATTTCGTTTTCGTTGACCCTTGAGTGGATCACATTAACCACCCTCGGTCCTCCTGCTTGTGGTAGCTGTGCTGGGGGAGGGGGTGCTGCTGGTGCTTGAGGCAACCTTGCCTGTTCTTCCCTTGTCCTCGCATCGACCAGGTCCCTCAGAAGGCCTTGTCTTACCAGGTCTTCCAAGTGTGCTTTTAAGGCTCTGCAACCTTGAGTTGGGTGCCCTTCTTCATTGTGGTAGGCACAACGTCTACCAACGTTCCTTCCCATGAATTCCCCTGGTGCTCTTGCCGGAGCCCTGAAATAAGGTTGATTTCGAATCCGATCTAAGACTTTATGGATTGGGATCCGGAATACCGTTGTTACCGCCTGTTTATTTCTCAACTCTGTTTCTTGTTTGGTCGGCCCAGTGTTATTTCGGCTTCGCTTCGGCGAGCCGTTTCCCTTTTCTTGCTTTATCTCTTTGTTTCCCGATGTATCTTCTTCGGCTCTGGCATACTTCTCGATCCTTGCCATGTGTTCTTCTATGCTTTTTGGCAATGTTTTTGCCAAAGACTTCCGTAGCGGGCAGTCATCTTTCAGGCCGTTCTTGAAAGACACGACCGCTACCTCTTGGTTGCATTCGGGTATTCGGTTGAACACCTCGTAGTACCTCTTCGCATAGGCCCTAAGGCCTTCTTCTTTGGTGATTCTTAGGGCCATCAAAGCATCAACCCTCAGGGGTTACAGCTTGTTGGTCACGAACCTGACCACAAACATCTCGGCCAAGCCTTCCCATGTCTTTATGCTTCCTTTTGGTAATTTATGGAACCAATCAGATGCAATTTCCCTAAAGGATGAGGGGAATACTTTGCAGAGCAATGGCTCGTTCCCGCTATATAACGCCATTGAATTCAAGTATAGTCCAACATGAAAGTTTGGATCTGATTTGCCATTATAAATTTGGAACCTTGGCATGCTGAATCTCTTTGGTGGTTCGAATTTGTCCAGTTCCACCGAGAAGGCTGTCTTCGGCTTTACCGGGGAGTTTACCTCGGCTTCAACATTCTGCTGCCTTCTTTTGAGGTAGTCCCTCAGGTCTTCTTTGCTCCTTCTTGGAGCTCGGTTGTCTATGGATTTTAGTCTTTTTGGTACACTGCTTTCGTCCTCGTGGTGGGCCCGTTTGGATCTTTCTCCATGGGTTGTGTCAAAGCAGAGTGCTTGCTTTTGAACATGCCGATGTTCTTTGGGCTCTGGATTCTTCGTGCGATGCGTCCTTCGGGACTCCTCTTGCCTCGGTTCTTCCCGTCCGACTTCGCTGGAAGGCCGGTGAGAATGCCTTCCGCTCTTGGTATGCTGAGAGACGTCGGGGATTGTTTTTCTTCCGCCCCTTTGGGCGTTGGTTGCTGGCATCGACGTATCTTGTAGCGGGTATGGTGGCTGCATAACATTATTTTGCATCATGAAGTTGACGACTGACTGAAGGTCTGCCAACTTGTTCGCCAATTCTTTTACTTCCTCATCCCTCCGTAGGCATCTGTCCCTCCATACCTGGAGGTTATCTTCATTGTAGTACTTTCCTTGGTATGTCCTTTTTGATGTGTCGCCTTCCGGGATGACGTCGTTCTCTCTGTGACCCTGGTCACGGGCTTCTGTACTGTGGTTGTCTCCTTCAATGTCAAGGTCAGTTGGTCCGTCACTCCCAGCGGGAGCGTCATCCCTAATATTTTCCTGCTGTCCGTTATTGGCCATCTATTCTTCCTTCGTTCCCACAGACGGCGCCAAATTGTGTGGGTGAAAATCTGACCACACTGCCTGCTTAGTGATCAACTGGAGAACACAGGCAAAATAGATGGCTTCAGCAACCTGAAACAGAAAGAAAAGGCTCCGGCGGTGGTTCTTCCACCCGGGGGCACTCCGACGATCAAGTCAGTATATCTCTCAAAGATAATCAAGTGCAAAACTTGATACTCAAAACATAAATTGCATACCTTAGATCCACGGGGTGCCTCTCTTTTATAATATACTCAATCCAAGTCCTACTAGAAGTATGACTTCTATGAACTTCAATTTAGTGCTTACTCTAGACTCTTTAAGAGATAAAGATAAACTTCCTAAGAACTTTATCCTTATATTGGTTAAGTCCCCTCTTCGTCTTAGGACTCTTGTCCTTTATTCGCTTTATCTCGGATTCTGATATCTTCGGAGACAATCTCGGCCTTGTCGAGATCACCTCGACGTTACGACCAGGACACGTGGCACCTCGGCTAACACGTCGGCGTCACCTTGCCACGTGTTGGTACTCAGAAAATATATCCCCACATAAAGTATTAAGATTCAAATTTAGTTTTTTATTTTAAAAATAAATTTCCGCTCATCGCACAGCTAACCTGCTAATTTATATTATATATCAAAGAAAATCGGGTTCTAATAAGAATGGATGTGAAAACTTCAAGTGCTGAAACTAAATTGTTTTATTTTTATAATTTAAAATGTAAAAAAAATAAAAATGTATTAGTTAGTTAATTAAACTAAAAAAATAAAAAAAAAAGTTCTAATTATCTATTATTTCAAATTTCAAAATTCAAATCAATGGTAAATCACTCTCACTCTTTCTAAAAATAATATTGATCAAAATAATTTAACTAATAATATAAAATTTCAAAATTTAAAACAATATGGTAATTCATCATTTTCAAAATAATACTGATCAAAATAATAAAAATATATAAAACTTAAAATTTTTAAAAATCTTAAGATATATTCGATACTCAAATTTTTTTCAAGTTGGCCAACTTTCTCCGTGTAATGGTGCAAGTGTCTCTCTCCTCTCCTCTATTTGCTAATAGTTCAAACTTTTTTCCTTTGTATTTTTTTTCCATAAATTTTTGTTTCCATGTGATTCATTTTTTCTTCGTTTGATTTTTTTTGAGGTCACAACTCTCTCCAAATGTAATGGTGTAAAGGTTAGTCTTATTTTGTTAGTTAATAGTCCAAACTTATTTCAAGATTTTTTTTTTTATTTTTGTTTGTGTGTCTTTTTTTTAAAAAAATTTGTGTACTCTTTTTTTTTTTTATTTAATAAATTGATAGTAAAGATATAAGTGTTTAGCTATCTTTGTTTTGTAAGTTGATTGCAAGCTTCTTCTTTTTTTTTTTAGATGCTTGTGTAATTTTCTATGCACAGAGGACATTTTTTTTAAATTTTTATTATTCAAATTGTTGTTTTTATTTTTTTGATATATGTAAATTGACAATACAATTACAAGTATTTGATGGGAGATGACATATTACATTGTTAATTGTGATTTGGCCATTTCATAGGAGATTAATTATAAATATAAAATAAATATATTAAATTAGACAATTATAATCCAATAATACATATGTGAAAACCTAACAACTACCAAGCACACAAATCTCAACAACTGATGCAAGAAATAGTTCAAAATGAAAAGAAATAAACAATTACATACAATCTTTATAGCAGAGAAGAAATAATCAATCTTCGTCGTTGACATGAAATAATCCACCCTACAAATCTGAATATGAGCATACACAAATAATCAATTGAGCTAATATCTCATAAGTTAAGAGCGCCTTACGTTGTTCTCAAGGTCGATGTACTAATATCCCATTAGTTTAGTTTGTTTGTTACTCTGTTTTTGTTTTTCTATTTTTTATACATTATATGTAGAGCAAATTATGTTTGTAGTTCCTATAATTTATTTCTTGTATCAATTTGGTCCATATAGTTCTAATAGTATCAATTTTGGCCTCCAATTTTTCATAATGCCTCATTTAATCCAATTAATAGCATTTATTAAGACTTCCGACGAAAATTAAGAGTAAAATGGTCAATTAAAAAGGAAGTAGACCATTTTAAATGAAACACTAATCTCTAAATCACTTTAGGAATAGTGAAAAAACTATTTTGGTCTCTAATTTCAGACAAATTTATAAAGGAGCATTACTAATTAGACTAAATTAATATAACATGAAAAATTTAAGATCAAAATCGATACAAATAAAATTATAGGGACCAAATCGATATACGAGGCAAATTGAAAGGACAATTAATGTAATTTGTCCTTACTTTTAAATACAAATTTCTCATATGAGAACACATGTATTTCTTTTCAATATTGTTTACACAATCCACCTATACAAATAAATTCACAATAATTAAATTGTTCTTTCATATTGATATTTACAC